CCCACACCCTTTGAAACATATAAACACACAAATTTGAGATCACTACAATATTGCCCTGGTTGCAGCATGATTGAACTTGACTGTACTAGTAACAATAACAAGATTTTTTTTTTTACAGAACTTGGTTGAATTTTGTGAGTATTTGATAGCCGGATTTGATTTTGGTTTCTCTCTTCATAAGTTGCCTGCAACTTTCTAAAATCTCAGTCACATTACCAAACTTTTCAATCAACATCCAATCATACTCATCTGAAGGTAACTTCATATATAACCTAGCTACAGAGTAGAGATAATAGTTGCACGCCATAAATGGGAGTAAGCTCAATAGTAGTGTGCAACATCAAGTGAAAATGTTCAGACAACTGAAAGTTAGCAATAGCTCCATTTCATGGTGTATCCTTGTGCATGCAGGCACACCCCATGCTGACCCAGGCTAGTAACATGCGTGGAGAGTGGAATGGACTACAAGAAAAGTTCATGGAGGAGTGTCCTTATGCATATTATATCCATTGTTTTGCTCATCACTTGCAGCTAGCTCTTGTTGCTGCATCAAAAGAAGTAGCCGATGTTCACAACTTTTTTTGATCATCTTGCTCTTATTATCAATACGGTTGTGTCTTCTAGTAAGAGACATGATGAGTTGCAAGCAAATAAAGTTGCTGAAATGGAGCATTTGATTGAGCTCGGTGAGCTTGAAACTAGAAGTGGGGCTAATCAAGTCGGAACTTTACAACGGCCTTGTGATACTAGGTGGAGTTCACACTATGCTTCTGTTTGCAGCCTTCTGTTTGCAGCCTTGTGAACTTTGCATATCCTCTTGTATCAACGGTGCATGGTGGTGTAATCAATGAAAAATATTATGCTATTACATCTGCTTCACTGTTTTTTCGGCCAAAATTTTTTACGGAAGTGTTGCTGCCTTCAGTCAGCCCGTGTTATACATTTTTCCTGGCTCCGCCACTGCGGTGATGATATGCTGGTGCCTGAAAAAGGGGAAGCTGGCCCTGGAGGCGTGCAGGAACCCGTCCTCGCATCGGCCACCCAAGTCCCAAACCCCTTGTTGGTCGTCGACGACGATGCGGAGGCGGGTCGTGGTGGGGCGAGGAGGCGGAAGCACTAGGGCTGGGGCTGGGGCTGGGTCTGGACCTGCCGAAGGTGCAGGGGTGGAGAGTGAGGGCGTGCGAGGAGACGAGAGAGCAGATCAGTAGTACCAAGCAAGGCTTCCAAGATGTTGTAGGGGCTACTGGTTAGGTGGGGACATGGAGTGACTTGATCCGTTTTGTAAAACTTATCTGTTTGATTTGTGCCGTGATAGTCGCTCTCTGTTTACCAAGAGTGGTGGCTGGTAATGATTGCAAAGCTTTCATCGTTGTCCCTGGTTACTCTTTGTCCTGACTCTTTAGCTGCATTGCATGGTTTGTGAGTCGTGATGTGATGCAATGGTGGATAAAACAGCACATTAAGTCACCTCTGTGTTTGATCAACTGATTTGCTGGTGGTACTCCATACATTGGAACGGTGCATGATAATTTTGTGTAAGAATTAATGCTCACAAGTTCCTGGGACTCTGTCTGTATTATATTCATCTCTACTTGATCATATACTTGTTGTTTTCAGAAATGAAGCATCCCCTGCATGCGTCTTTTAACTTATCATCACGGGCAGTTCTAGCCAACCAGGACTGTTATATTGGTAGCCGAGGAATTGCAATACAATAAGGCTGAGTTGAAAGTCCCAGCAGAATTGTTGCGGAGGAAGTTAAATCATGATCAAAGGGTTGTTTAAAACGAAGTTATACAGGCCATTGATGCTTGAGTGGGAGGTGTGCTTTTTGTTTCTGGGCATGGTGGTACACGCAAGACTTTTGCTGCATTGATCATATTAAGTATGCAATTTTAACACTAACACGCGTCTTATGTCTCCTGAATTGACGCCCCAGTCCCGCGTTGAGCGTTATGCAGTTGTTCAGTGGGTTTCTGACATTGGGGATGTCAATGTTTCAATGCATATTAAGTCAGATGAGACTCCACCTTCTTGGATATCAGTTCCTTAGAGGTATGCTATTGATGCCCACGGCTGACAACATAAAAGTTGCTACCCATTGCGTCTAATTATTCAGTTCAACCTATCTGCCGAGCTATTGTGTGCCCAGCAAATTAGTGGAGCTGTTTTCAAGTGTGTTCCTAGGAGTGCAAGGTCTTAATTCGGATTGTTACTATATCCAGGTCCACTGATTCGGTTGGGTGATGCTAATTGACTTGATGGTCCTTAATTTTTTAACTCCATAGAAGCTAATAATATTGCACACCATAAAATGGATTTCAAGGCCTTCTAAGGAATATAAATCAGTCCCTTGATCTGTGCAATGATACCTGCTTGCCCTTTAAAAGACCAGGTGAAAGAGTCCTCGAAGGGGAGATATTGACAGGATCTTGCATTCCTCGGGTAGTCTTGAATGCAGCAAGTACGCTACCAACTTTGATTTTGTTATAACATGAAAACTAAGAAAAAAGGTCCTAGTATTCAGTAACGGAGAATAAAATTAGAAGCAAAAATAGCATCACTCACGGGTGATCAAATCCTAATTTAATTCTCAATGTGCTGACTAGAACCCATAAGTTATAGGGGAGTGCTGGCAAGTGAGGTCTACCTTCATCTTACCTCAGTTAATCTAATTAAGCAGGTACCCCTAAAAAAACTAATTAAGCAGGTGCGACTCAAATTAAACACTTCATCTTACCTCAGTTCATCTTCTTCTCAGACGTACAACTAACCACCCAGCAATTCATCACCAAATCACAAATATATATTACGATCTCAAGCCGGCTCACTATCCAAGCCCCGGTAGACTGGTACGAATGTAGATCAATGACGATAGCCTAAATATTAGGCGATGGGAGGTGGCAGTGTCTCCCACACATCCAGCACGTTGTCCTCATGATGCACCGCGAAGAGACGGTCGCCCCCAACCGAGAAGTCGGCAATGGCGCCACCGCCTTGGCTCCCACGCAGCGCCAGCCTCAGGTGGTCATGATTTGGGCCGCCATATACCGAGATGGTGTCATCCTTGGACGCTAAGAGCAGCCCACCATGCACGGCGAGCTTCGGATAGCATATCGGAGTCGTCGCCTTGCTCTGATATGTCCACGGCTGCTGGAAAGAGCCCCGAGAACGGATGTCGAGGAACCCGAGATCATGGTTCTGGCTGATCAAGCGGACCGACCTCTCGTCCTCCATCACGACGGCATCGGCAACATGCTTTTCATCCAATCTCCGGCTGCCGACGGACCATGACCACACAACACTCATATCCCGGAAATCCACCAGAGTGATGGAAGACGGTGAAAAAGCATCTTTCGGTGAGCATGCCTTGACCGCCATGAGAGCGTTGGTGCTTGCCAACCACTGAAGCTTGCTGGCGTCGGTCAGAGCGTAGACGTACTTCCGGTCAAAGAAATAGCTTGTTTGTTCGCCGGTGATGCAGTCCCAAACACCGATGCCGTAGCCAATTTCTGGAGTTATGCCCGAGTTGTTGCAGCTAGCAAAGACGTTTGTTTGCTGGTCAAAGGCCAGCGCCCTCGCGTTAAAAAGCCGAGCTGTCTTCTTGCCCTCGTGCGCTATGCGGAAGTGGTGACTCAGATCGCCGGTGAGCACGGAGAATGCTGCCATGCCACGTCCCCCAACGAGGAGCGTGGTGTCGCTGAGGTAGACAGCATCGCGGACCGGCTCAACAGGCGTGAGGCAGACTGGCTGACGCTCCTCGAGCATCCAGTTGTAGACCCGCACGATGGGGCCATGCGTGACGCAGCACCCTCCGTCTGGCGCTGCGCGGACGGCCGGGCGGTCCACCGGCGCCCGCCCCGGCGGCACGGATGCCGCCAGCCGGGTCCTGCTGAGGTCGAGCTCACCGATGCGAGTGGCGCGGACACGGTCGAGGAGGCCGTAGTAGGACGCCTCCTGGAAGAGCATCCGCTCCGGGACGCCGGCCGGGACATGCAGCTCGCCCGTGCGGAGCATGTTGAGGAGCGAGGCAAAGCAGGCCGGGTCGCGGTCGATGAAGTACTCGGGCACGCCCCCGGTGGCGCCGGCGTTCCAGCAGGGTTCCAACATGGCGGCGAGCATGGTTCCCTCGCCTGCGCCTCTGAGAGTGTCGGCCGTCGTCTCGAACACCTGCCCGCCGACGTTCAGCCGGATGCGGCCGGAGGCTGTTTGTGGTGTGCACATGGCCGGCTGTGTGTATAAGACTTCCAGGCGCAGTGGACCTGTCAATGGAGAGGGTTGTGTTGCGGCACTGTCACTTCTCAAACTTGGCCTTCGTTGGGCTACACCTTCCTGATTTCGTAAGACCTTCAATAGAAAGACAACAATAAGACAGTCACAAACATATGCATAGGCTACAACTCAGTAGCTACATTCACAAACATATGCATCACAGCTCTATCAATGACAACAGTTCTCAAGAAACTTGCATATGCATTCAGCTCCATTAGTGACAACAACGGACAGCAACCAAATATAGTGCATCCTAGTACAAACAAACTTCAATCAAGTTTCACAGCACACTACTACATAGACAGATGGCAACTAAAATGTCAATTCCTTTGCACTGGGATCATAAAACTAAATAGGTTTTGAACTGAACCGTATAGTAATCACAGTCTCCAGGGTTACTGTACTCCAACCTTTTCAAAATGACAAAAAAAGAGAGCATTTTTTTAACCTCAAGAGAAGTGTCAATAATGGACAGCAACCAAATATAGTGCATCTTATTACTAAACAATGACCAATTGCTGCCAGTAGAGAACTCTCTGCTGCTGCTAGGGTTTCGACACCCGTACTGAAAGAAGTGTACAAGCTGCCGCTACCTTTTTCTGTGTATTGCTTGAGCAATGCACGTTGGTTGGGAGGCGCTGGGCTGGGAGGGAAACAGGAGGACGAGGCGGTGGGGCGGATCTGGAAGACGAGGGAGGCGCCGGTCGATGGGGAGAGAGGCGGCGCTGGAGTTGCTGGACGTCAAGGGGGTCTGGAGTGGCTGGACGGCGAGGGGGCGGCTGGACGTCGACAAGGCAGCGCTGGAACGATGGAGGAGGCCGGAGGCGGCGGTGGATTGGGGATGGAGGCGGCGCGCTGGAGTGGCTGGAGGGGAAGGGGAGAGAGACGGCGCTGGAGGAGTGGGGGCGGCAGCGGGTGTAGGGTCAAGCTTCAGTCCACTCGGGCCCTTCAGCTATGTCTTGGGCCGCCACCATCAGTGCAAACGGCACCTTCTCTATTGGCCCAAGCGATGAATATACAACATGATACTGAGTATTAAAAAAAACGCTCTTATATTATGGGACCGAGGGAAATGCAAACCATCATTTCTTTGGGTGTTAGGCCAACTCCAGCGTGCACCCCCATTCCGTCCGGATGCGTCCATTTAGGGTAGAACAGACAAATAGCGCGGCCCAACGTGCGGCCCCAAACGGACAAATGTCCAGATTTCGTCCGCTTTCGATCCATTCCCGGCCCAAACTTGTGCCGAGTTTGGGGTGAAACAGATATCGCGCGGACGGGCTGGACGCATGCCCTTGTCCTCCCCGTGGCCCGCCTGTCGGGGACACTGGCACTCCATTCGCCTCCAACGCCTTCACCCACTCTCCCCCGCCCACCCCGCCGCTAGTGCCACCAGTATTCTCCGG